TTTATAGCAGCACAATTTGTAATAGGTAAATCCTGGAAACAACACAAATGCCCATTGACTGTGGAATGCATAAAAAAGATGTGGTATTTTTATATGATGAAGTACTACTCAGTTATAAAGAAGGATAAAATTGAGGCTTTTATAGATAAATGGATGCAATTTGAGACCATACTCATAAGTGAAATAAATCAGACTCACATGTGTATACATCGTATTATCTCCCTAGTGTAAAAATCTGAAAGAGTAGATAAGATCCAAAATGTACAATAGATACTGTGAAAGTGAATGTAGATGAAACAGCTCAAAAGAAAAGAACAATTGGGATGGGGGAAAGGAGAAAAGAAAGAAGGGAAAAGATTATATATATATATATATATATATATATATAATCTTTTCCCTTCTTTCTATATGTGATAGATAATTACATTACTAATCTATTTGTTCATTTAAAAAGTTTGTACTTTCATTGATCATTTTTTCATGCCTATATTTTGTAATATGAGCAACTACTTTTAAGATAACAATATACAATATATTAACCATTGTTAATCTATCATTTTATTTTGAAATCGGTTTACTCATTTTTATTTTTTCCATTTTAAAATAAAAAAAATTAAAAAGAAATGAAGTGCACCATAAATGCATGAACTGGAATCATTCTGAAAGCCATCTTTCCAACTTCTCCTCAGGAAAACTGTCATCCATGAAGCCAGTCCTTAGTGCCAAAAAGATTGTAGCTTTCTGCCATGGTGTGTTCTAGGGACTTGTCTTACTAATGATCTCAAGAACCTGTTAGAAATTCGTATTTTCAGAATGTAGTCAGATGCACTGAATCTCAATATAGGGTGTGCTATTTACATGATTTCACAAACTTCTAAGAAATGCCTACTACTGATAGATCATCTTTCTATCTGGTGCCTTTCAGTACATGCACTGGCACTTCAAAGTATATCATGCTGGATTAGGGTAATTCGGTTTGAAAATTTTAAAAAATCTACAGAGCTTTAATTGATACTTTCTAGACATCAGATAAAAGAGAACAGTTTGGTAGCCATCTTTGAACTAAATAATGCCATTGTTTTGTACAAGACTGGTTGAACCAAATTCGATTACTTGAAACAAACTGGGTCAATAAAATTTTTTCTTGAGATTTAGATTCAGATGTTATTTGATGTCTCTGAGTATCTAAATAGTATTAGATATAAAATGTTAGGGTCATGTGGAACTATGTACCTTCAAGAAGAGAGAGAGAGAGAGAGAGAGAAAGAGAAAGAGCGAGAAAGAAAGATAACTTCAGAAATGAGAATGTTCAACACTTTCTTGTTTATGCAAGTTAACTGATTCCCAGTGAACACTGGCTTGACAAGGACTGGTATAACTGGGTAAACTCTCTTTCCTGGAGAAGTTCAGAGTAAAACAAAGATAAAAGACTCTAAGATTACGGTTGGTAAGGGTAACCTGGATGCTGGCAGTTCATCTGTGTTCTCTGTCCTTAAATTACATGAAAAATTATTATAATTTCTGTTTTTCTCTTTAAAGGAGCTTTGACTAAGACAATGATAAATATTCTGTTTCTTAGTTTGACATATAACACTTTCACCAAACTATCTCTCTAGCCTCATATGCTCCAAGTTGTTGTTGTCTATCTGCATCCTACTACCAGCCACCTTAAACACTAGTCATGGACCAGGCAAACCAACAAACTTCTGCCCTCATAGATGGCTTCTCTCAGCCTATTGTGCTACTTTTCCCTGCCTACCTCTGATCAAGTCAAACTCAATCTTTAAGATCCACTAAACTATAAGCCTCATTAGAAACTATTTCCTGATTTCCCAGAAGAATTGAAGGCCCTATGCAATATGGGCTACACATATTAGTGAATTTATCATATTCTACTCAGTTATATGTTTGCTTTCCCTTTCAACTGAACCATGAGTTTTTACTTTGTTTTACCAGAAGCTCTTTGCACAAGGCACAACCCAAAGTAGGTACTGCATCAATGTCCGTTGTATGAACAAGTGTTGAATAGATGAGTTGTAAATGGGGAGCTCCCTAGATGTCTAATTTTTGTGATCCTAGTAGACCTGCTCAGTCATCAGGGCAGTAGATTCTGCTTGTGTTGTTCTAAACTATCTCCAACCCATTTGTCCTGCCTGTCATTGAGCTGATAGCAATTGTGAAAGTGATGAATAGCAGACCAATTATGAGGAATAGGAAACATCAGTTATAACTCCAGGGAGAAGACATAGCCATATCAGTAGCCTCATCCATCTAACTGAGTCATCTTTCCAAGGCATTCTTCCCTGTGACCTTGAATTGCCAATCTTAGTTTTGGACAAATCCAAATTCTTCAGAGGATGGCTCCTCCTCTCAGCCTGTCTCCTACAAGGCGTTGCTCCTGGCCCACTCTGTCCTGGAAGAGAAAAACTGGATGGAAACTATATACTTTTCCTGAGGGAAATCCTTAGCCAAGTATCTGAACCCCACCCAATAGACAAGACCTGTCTTCTAAGTCCTACTATCCTTTGACAGATAGTGACTCCTCTCCCTTGTGGTGAGAACATCTGGAGATGGGAGGTGGGTGGAAAGGTTTCAAGTGGAGGATTTGTCCAAGAATGTAGAGTTTATGTCGCTAAATGCTAGCTTAAGTTCCTGAGTAAAGAACTGCAAAATTTTCCTCTGTGGCCACTAGTGATCTCATTTTTCCAGTACACCCATGATCCCTTAGGAAGCATGAGGGAGAAAGCTTCCCTTGCTTGAAGTTAGAACTAAGAGTTGGGTCCAAAAAAGGAATTCAAAGCACAAGAGGGGTCAAGCTTAGTCTAGACCCATACTGACCTTATCTTAGCCTTTTTTTTAAAGGGTGAAGTAATAAATATTTAATCTTTATGGGCAATATAAGTCATATGCAACTTGACCATGATTGTGGTAACACAAAAATAACTTTACACAACCATAAGCAAATTGGTGTGACTATATCCAACAGGACTATTTACAGACATCAAAATTTGAATTTTACATAGTCTTATCTTAGTCTTTCAAAAGGAGTTTTGGAAATTTGGCTGAGGAAGTTATGAAAGGAGAGACTCTTATCAGTTTCATTATAACCATATTTGTATCATGCCAAGTTGAATTCCGAAAAGTCTAAATCACTTAACTCAGAACAAGATGCTACACATGGTAGAGGGACAGAAAAACACACAAGTTAAGAGCATGGTCACTGGAATAAGACTCCTGGATACAAATCCTAGTGTTATCACTAAGAAGCTGGTAAAAAGGACTTCAGCTTTCTCCATGTTAAAGTGCTTCACTTTCTGCAATGTTAAACCAGGGTGTCTTAATATCTACTTGTATAAAAACTGCTGTGTCATTTACAAAATGCCTAAAATAATGCAGATCTGTACAAATATCCACACATTAACATATATTGATAATTAAATGAATATTGACTAAGCCTTAAATGCAAATATTCTCTAGATCAAAGTAATTGATGAATATATTAGAAAAAAAGTGTTTGTATTTATTTAGAGAGAAAAGAGTCCAAACATATTAAATACACTCACATAAGATTGTGTTTATCCTTTTAAATGTTGCGTACTGGAAAAAAATATGCTGTTGGAGACAACTGGTGGAAATACTTTGTTTTTTGGGGAAGCATGACTTTCTTTGTCTCTGAGATCTGTGAAGGCAAGGCAGTACTATTCATTTATTCTTATTTTGTGCTGGACGTTTTAATCAGAAGCAAAAGCATAAAACAGCAGGAGAAAAAGGAAAAAAAGAGAAAGGTAATGAAAATGAAGAGGAAAGACACTACAACGAATATTTATCAAACTTTTAGTCATATGAGGCATTGCTAAATGATTCACATGCATTTATTTATTTATTTAGGTCTTTTTGAGACAGGGTCTCTCTATGCAGTTTAGGCTGGCTTTGAGCTCACTTTGTAGCCTAGGCTGGTCTTGAACTCACAACAATCCTCCTGTCTCAGACTCCTGAGTGCTGGGATTACAGCCATGAGCCAACACACCTGGATCATAATTTATTTAACAACTGCTCTATGTGTTAATACATTATCATCCTCATTTGGATTCTGTACATTTGTTTTTTTTTTTTTTTTTTTTGGTCTTTTTCATTTTTATCAGTACCAGGGATCGAACTCACGACTGCCTGCTTGCAAGGCAGGCGCTTATGCCGCTGAGCTAAATCCCCAGCCCCTGGATTCTGTACATTTGAGCTGTATTTATACACTAAATGGTAAAATGAGAATTTAAACTTAGGTCTGCTTGATTTGGATACGTTTTTTTCTTTACATTCATCATTATGTATAATACCTAAAACTACTATATAAAAAGGTTTTTCTTATTATCTCCCTTTTGCTGATATAAAAATGAGTTTCTAATAGGCTAACTCTCATGTATAATGCTATCCCACAGGCAAGCATGAAATTAGAATTCAAACCTAAATCTAGTGGACCCCAAAGTCCACAACCTTTCAGTGAAATCTCACTAAATCTCCTAAAAATCTCAAAATCTCACTAATAAGTATGCCTACCTTGAATAACATTAACATATGCCCCAATATATTAAAAATAAATACATATTTATGTATACCTCAATGTCTAGATCTGTTCAAAATTATTGTCTTCATATTTGAGAAATAAACACCAGGGAAGCACTGTGGAGGGATGAAAAGTGTCTGCCCACATGATTCCCTTCCCCAAGAAGCTACTATGCTTCCATTAACTGGTATTGTCTGACTTATTTTTTAAGAGTATCAATACTTTCCCCAAAAAAAGGATTCATGCTGAGGCACAATAATAATAGCTACTTAAGTAGCCTTGAAGGAGCCAAGTCCAAACTATTTGGAGAGTAGATGTATTCTCTCTAGAAAAGGGAAGGGAATTTTGGATTGAATTAATAGCAGGTCTTCATTAAGTATTAAATGGGGGTAAAACTGAACTTAGATTATGAAATAGAACTTAGCTTCTACTGCACTGAGAGATGACTCAAAGGTGAGAATAAAGTTCCGCCAACAGGGAAAGATGACAATAGCTAGTGGCGGGAAAGTCTCTGGAATCCCCCCAAAAAAGCTTCTTGGTGATAGAAGAGTCTTACCCATTCAAAGTATAGTAGGAGATGATGATGAAGTTTGTGCAGTTTACACAATGGGACCAAGGCTACAGGAACTGTATAAACAGTTGTTTATACAGTAGACTCTAACCTACTGGTTATGAGACACTGATGCTTCTCCTCATGAGTTTCAGTCTCTTTTATCCACTCAGCTATTTTTAATGCCTACTAAGTGTGTGGCAGTAAACACAGAAGCTATTATGCTCAAGGGCAAACCTAGAAATCTGAAAGCAAGAGAATTAGCTTTTATCTTTAAGTCTGTAGGTTTGAAATAGTCTCTATGTGTTTTTAAATCTCTTTATTAAAAAAATAATATATTAAGAGAGCTTAACTTCCGCTTCTCTCCCACTTCCGCTTCTCTCCCAGCGAGAGAGACACGAGTGGCCAGGCCCAGCCGCAGCCGCAGCACAGCCGCCGTGGCGGCACGGAGGAGCCAGACGCAAAGAGAGCAAACCGAGAAAGAAACAAACACCCCCAAGAAGAAGGAGAGTAAAGTCAGCATGAGCAAAAACTCCAAGCTCCTCTCCACCAGCGCCAAGAGGATTCAGAAGGAGCTGGCAGACATCACTCTAGACCCTCCGCCTAACTGCAGTGCGGGTCCCAAAGGTGACAACATCTATGAGTGGAGATCTACCATTCTAGGACCTCCAGGATCTGTGTATGAAGGTGGTGTATTCTTCCTAGATATCACTGTTACTCCAGAATACCCCTTCAAACCTCCAAAGGTTACATTTCCGACAAGAATCTATCACTGTAACATTAACAGTCAAGGAGTTATTTGCTTGGATATATTGAAAGATAATTGGAGTCCAGCACTAACTATTTCTAAAGTCTTCCTTTCTATCTGCTCACTTCTTACAGACTGTAATCCTGCTGACCCTTTGGTGGGAAGTATTGCCACTCAGTATATGACAAACAGAGCAGAACATGACAGAATGGCCAGACAGTGGACCAAGAGATACGCTACATAAATTGAACTGCGCTTTCACAATTCTTACATTATTTGTCTGTCACAGAAGAGAGCTGCTTATGATTTAAAGGGGCAGGGGAGGGTGGGAGTTGGTAAAGGGTAGGGTATTTCTATAACAGATATTATTCAGTCTTATTTCCTAAGATTTTGTTGTAACTTAAGGTATCTTGCTACAGTAAACAAAATTGGTAATAGCAACTTTTAAAACTCATTAGTTCTACAATATTGGCTGAAATGTAATACAGAAAAGAATGTATACTAGATATTTGGGTTATATTTGGATTCAATTGCTTGTATGTAATTTTTAAACAGCTTAATCTTGTACAGGTTACACACATGGCAATTTATGTAAAGTCATTGTAAAGTGACATACTTCTTTGTTTTAAATTGGAATTTGGCCCTTCTTGGAAGGGAGCACTGATATTTAACAGAGTTTTTAAGACTGTCATCTCATATATATATATATAAATAAATATAAATATATATATATATATATATATATATATATATATATAAAATAAATGTGGCTATAAGACACCATGTAGGATATGAGTAGTTAATGTATTTTATTTTATATGAAATTTACTTTAAAGGTTTGAATCAGGACTTCTGAGAACCTGTAGTGAAATACCTTAAGCTGTTAAGTGTAAGGCGTGGAATAGGAGTCACTCAGTGGATTAGTTATATGTTGTAGACTTCTTACGTTTGCATTTGTTATTGTGTTAATAAACCATATTAAAAACAAAAAAAAAGAGAGAGAGAGCTTAGAGGTGTTGGAGTTCTTTCAAGGCCTAATAAACAGAGTGATTGAGATAAGACTGATGGCTGTGATTAGAACAATGGTGTGTCCACCAAAATTCATGTTGAAAATTAATCCCCACTGCAATAACATGATGTATGGCCTTTGGGGAGGGGTAAATTATGAGGGTTCTATGCTCATGAAGGATTTAGTGCCTTTGTAAAGGATCTTAAGATAGAAGGGGGCACTTTTTTGATATTCTGTCCCTGCTGCCACATGAAGACGTCATATTCCTTCTCTCCAGATGATGTAGCAACAAGGCACCAACTCGGAGGCAGAGAGTAGCTGTCATCAGATACTAATCCTGCCACTGTCTTGATGTTGGAATCCCTAAACTCTAGAACCATGAAAAAATAAATTTCCATTCCTTATAAGTAATCCAGTCTCGTGTACTTTGGTATATTGGCACAATTAGACTAAGACAAAATGTAAATAAATCCTTAAACTCACATAGTGAAAAACTGTTGATAGAACTAAGGACAATTAACAGGTGAGAAGAAAAGTTCTACTCAGATCTAAAACAGCTTAGTATACCTGAAAGTCTCTTTCGCAAGAAAGGGGAATAATTTTTATTGAGTTTCTTCAATAGCAAGCATGGTTATAAGCACCTTATGTAGATTATCTCAATTCATTTGCAAAACAATTCAATAAGACAAACATTACCAATCCTATTTTCCTAGTGAGAAAACAAAAGTTTAAAAACTCAAGGGTCCAAACATGTCCAAAGGAACACAGAAACTTTGTGGTACCTGATATTTGAGCCCATGTTCTCAGGTTCCAAAACACATGCTGTCTACTAAGTCATTACCTAAGGTTTACTCAGTAAAGTATTGATGGGTAAAAACATTAACAATAAGAAGAAGAAATACACAGGAAAGTATTTTGACGGTTGAGGATGGAGCTTAGTGTCAGAGCACTTGCCTGGCATGTATAGGGCTCTGGGTTCAATGTCCAGGACTTGAAAAGAAAAAGCATTTTTAATTCAAAATAAAGAAATCTGCTTCAGTAGTTAAGAGCAAGTGGCTTAGGGAGCCACTGAACAGGCCATTCCTAGGTGTATTATGACACAAACTTTTTCAGGACAGAGAAGAAAGTGTCAAGCAATGGATAAGGGCTGGCCTAGATGCTTAAGCAATCCCTCTTACGCTTTTTTTTTTTCCTCAGGAAGTATAGAGAAGAAAGGGCAAGATCAACAACAGAAAGAGGGAAACTAGTAAGACAAGATCTTGTCTTTCCTTAGCATTTATTATATGCCAGGCACAAGCATGCTATTACCAACTCTTTATAATACAGTAACCTCGAAAATTAGTAACAACTAAACTTACACAATACCTGAGAGACTAAAGCTCAGAGTCCCTTGCCAAAATAAAGAAAAGGAATAACCAGGATTTGATAATGGATTTGACCTGCATCAAAGATAAACAAACAGAGCTGGGGATGTAGAACAGTGGTGGAACACCTGCTTAGGATGCACTGGCCCTGAGTTCACTTACCACTATTTAAAAAATTCTTAACTACTGGAGAAAAAAACAAGTTTTTCTATTAATCATTTTGATTTACAGGTCTGTCAGTACTACTTGTAGTGAATTTCAAAACAAAATTTTAAATCATGTTTGATTAAACTTCTAGACTAAACTACCAGATTATAAGAAAAATGGGGCCAGAGGAATATGTAAGATGGTACAATGGGGATACAACCAGCAGAATTCAGGTTGGAGGTAATTGTATTTACAAACAATTTAGATGCATCAATGAAAAATTCTAAAAAATAGAAAGAGATGGAGGAAGGAACCTATATATTAAAAGAAACTCATTTAACAGCCAGTAACAATACTTGAAATTTACTTTTACCCTAATTTGAACAAACAAGTTGGTATCAAAGATTATCAGGTTATCTAGTTAACACAAATAAGAATTGGATATTGAATGATATAGAGAGATTATTAATTTGGGGATCTTGGTAGTGATATATAGGCTATTTTGTGTTTGTCTTTTAGATATAGACTTTAACATTTACACATGATCTAATGTTCAAGAGGTTTTTCTAAATTACCAGGGAAGTAGGGAGCCAGATGGAAGAGGAGGTAACACAGGCATAAATTGATCATTGATAAAACTAGGTGACAGGAACATGGTAGTTCCTAATGCTACTCTTTCTTTGTATGTTATATTTTTAAAATTAAGTTTTAAGGTGATATCAGATCCTATAATTTAATAGTACTCCCCAAAATGTTACAATTTGAAGATGAAGTAAAGAAGAAATTGAAACACATGATCCAATGAGAAGTCATGTTCCTCATGGTCTTCCCTTTCTCTTAAGGTATAAGTTTGTGTCCTGAAACTCTTCTATTCAGACATCCTAGGAGTGATACGAGTCTGTTGGCCCACAAAGGCACTGCACAGACTATTTGTGTAACAGTTACAAACTCAAGCTGTTTTCAACTGCATATGCCTGATGACTTGTGAGGAACATCTGGAATGAGTTCTTTTTTTCTTCTTAGATTAGAGGGGAACAGAAAGTGAGAGTTGGGTTGTTTGTGAATTCTCCCTGGGCCTTTGGTATCAGTGCTGACTGAAGTTGCTTAATGACCCAAGAAGAGACCCCTGTGAACAGGGCCAAGCTCCAACAGGGGTGGGACCCACAGCCCACTGTTTCTGGAAGTGCAGCAGTGTGGTGGATAGGGCAGTCTTTGCATGATACCTTCAGATTCATGATGGCTGTGTGATGAATGCGTGGATGTGAGAAAGCTAGGAAAGGATTTCCAGCCCCAGCTCTGACATTTTCTAGTCCTGTGGGGCTTCAAGGAATGATTGCCTGTACTCTCTGAGCCTGTTTTCTTATCTATAAAATGAAAATAAACATTGCTACCTTCATAGCCCTACTGAGAGAATTCAGGAATCAGTGTAGCATGTAGGCATACTGATACAAGCCAGTGACTTTTTTTTCATACACCATGTATCTGTTCACATTTAGTTGTGCTTATTGGATTTTTGTGATATCAGACAGTACATCATAAGCTGCTGGTGAAAGCAGAACACAAGTTGGTTCACTCTGATCTCATGAAGTCTGCCCCCTAGCGTACAGGAAAATATTTTGACTCAGTATAATAAAAAGAAGTCTCTGAATGGAGATGGAGTTAGGAGTCATTGAGCACACCATTTGAAAAGTAGGAATGTTCAAACACAAGCCCACAACTTCTTTCAAGGTGTGGTAGGAAAGAACTAAGAAATAGACTATGGTTGTACTAAATGCCTATGTTTCTCTGTTCCTGAATGTACTGCATTTTCTTCCTCATAAAGACTGAAGAGGTCATAAAATAGTAAATTTTGAAGAGGACATACATTAATCAAACAATTACAAAAAATAAAATTATAACTAGAAATTATAATACTCTATTATGAAAACAATGAAGAGACTGACAAAAGTCAGGAATCTTGTAAATTGTACTGCTAAAATCATGGATATGCCTGTATCATTGTGATTGTTGACTTTAATTTTTTTCAGGAAGATACCTACAAAGGGAATAGCTGGATCAAATGAAATTTCTAGTTCTAGTGTTTTGGGGAATTTTTGTACTGATTTCCATAGTGGTTGTACCAGTTTACACTCCCACCAGTAATGAAAAAAAGTGTTCCTTTTTCCCCTATAATCTCACCAGCATTTGCTATAAATTCATTTCCTGAATACATATAAGAGATGGAGTGGTGTGGGGTGGGGGGAGAAAGGGATGGAATAAAAAAAAATTAAATACCATGTATACGTATCAGTTCCCCACAATTCATACAATCATTATGTACTCTAAATATATACCAACAAAACAATAACACTGAAAACATGAAAGGAAGTGAACAAACAAACAGAGGGAGTTATCAAATCTAGAAGCTTTGGCATTCTTGTAAGTGACTAATAGTTTACTACGTGGAATCCACAGAAGAAATGGGGTAAAATACACTCCAGCACCAGGGAACAGTATATGCAAGGTCTCTTTGGCAGGATAAGACATAGAGTCTTCCAGAAACTGGAAAAAGAGCACTGAAGCTTGAAAACAGAGACAAATAAGGAGTAAAAGGTGAGTTTTAAGAAAGTAAAGTGGTCCAGTCCAAGGAACACTTTGTAGCAACGGTAGGGACCTTAAACTTGATCCTGGGAGCATTGGGAGGCCCAAAACTTTTAATCAGGAAGGGATGGAGGATGTTTTAGTTTGGAAAATATCACCATGGCTTCAAGATAGAAAATGAATTAAAAGAGAAAAGAGTCACCATTAGCCAATTTAGAGGCTACTACAATAGCACAGGAAAGGCTGAAGTTGGACTGTGTAAAGGGAACATAGGAGAAATTCTTATAACAAATCTACATGATTTACTAAGCCATATGGTGGGGTACAGGAATAAGCACGAAGTAAGGATATATATCAAGTATGTCTCCTTGATTTTGGAATTACAAGAACTGAGATTAAAAAAGAAAACTTTGACAGAAGAAGACAAGGTCATTTAT